CTGGAGGCCTCAAATGATGTTATATTCCTTGAGTGATGCTACCTGTGCTTCTGGCAAGCAGTTAGGGGCACCATTCATTCCATAACATCTTAATCCAACTTTAGAGTTTGTCTTCTTTTGGCTCCTGTCACCCCTATGTCTTTGGGATCCCAACTCAGAAAGAGGAGTTCACTATACTCTGTTTAGAACTCCAATTCCTTTCTTCCTAGCCCAACAAGGCTATCAAATGCAATTCTCAGTCTCTCAGTGACCCATATGAAAGGACTGAACATAGACCCAAATGTCAATGTCACCACCCAAGGACTCTGTTCTCACACAGATCCTGGCCTACTAGGTCTTCACTAGCTTCTTAGCTATGCAATGCTTCCAACCAGAGATGTTTTCTTAATGTGTCCAACTTTTCCAAGTGTCTTCAGAGAGTTGTTCCTGATTGTCAGAAGAGGAGATCTCCATATCTACTTTTGAGCCAGCTTTTAGACATACTTCCAGTATCATATGATACCCAAAGAGGATATATATCTATATATACATGGAAACTGAGATCACCAGTGTAGACAAGATTGCCCAAGGAAAGTGTTAAGAACATAGATCCCAGGACAGACTCATGAAAAAGTAACTTCCATTCCAAATTGCAACTCAAAAAGACAGCATTCACTTTCAACCAAGTTTACAGTTTCAGACTGTCACGGAATAAACCATGCAAACCACTCCCCCAACCCCCGCAAATTCACAGATTGAAGCCCTAACCTCCAAGGTTACATATTGGGAGATAAGGCCTCTGCAGAGTTAATTCATGTTCAATAAGGTCATAAGGGTGGGGCTTATAAGAGGAAGTTGTAAAAAAATAAAGCTGGTGTCCTTATAAGAGAGAGGAGTATATGTACACAAGAGGAAATTTCAGCCATGTGAGGACACAGCAAGAAGGCAGCTATATGCAAGCCACAAAGAAAGGACTCATCAGAAACCAACCCTGCCAGCACCTTGGTTTTGGACTTCCAGTCTCCAGAACTGTGAGAAAATAAACTTGCTCTTTAAGCCACCCAGCCTGTGGTAATCTTATGGTCGTCCTAGCAGACTGATACATGGACAGTGCACATCACCTGTACAATGTGGGAAAGCTGATACAATACCACTTGTAATAGAAATAGCACCTCAAGTCCAGTGTCACCTAAATCCACAAGCGGGGCCCGACAAGTGGGCTTACACGAGGAATCCCAGCAAAACAGCAGTGAAAAAGTAGACACCATGCCCTGACTGGTGTGGCTCAGTGGGTTGCCTGTTTGATTCCCAATCAGGGCACAAGCCTGGGTTGCGGGTCAAGTCCCAGGTTGGGGGCGTGCGGGAGGCAACAGATCGATGTATCTCTCACACATCAATGTTTCTCTCCCTTTCTCACCCCCCCCTTCCCCTCTCTCTAAAAATAAATAAATAAAATCTTAAAAAAAAGAAAAGAAGACACCATGCTGAAGAAGACAAGGGAAACAAGGGCTTGGGAGAACAAGTCATTTCTAATGGTCTTCTCTACTTCTTCAGTCAACCGTGGCAGAAGGTTGCTCAAGGGAACAAGGCGTACACTCAGCCAGGAAATGAAGGTCACCAAGGCTCCTTCTGTCATGAGAAACTTCTCACCAGACTGTGAAATAATTCTTCTCCAGGTTTCTCCCGTACCCCCTACCACCATTTTCGGCACATGGAAAATCAGGATCTTCACTGGGGTTACCACTAGCGCCATCACTCACAGCTCCTCAGCAGCCTTCAGCGAGCAGTTCAGTCTCTTCAGAGCAGGAAAGTGGCATGGAGCGTAGCGAGTGGGCACACAGAGACACACACAACACACCATCCCAAACCCAGGCGGCACATCCTGGCTAGTTCACTGCTCCATTGCCATCCACCTCCCTCCCATCATCCCCTGCCTCCCCGGACTCTGGCACCACGGGAACCAGCAGACTCAGACACAGGAAGCAGCCTCTCCGGCGCTGCTCAGACACTAGCCAGCGGCAGTGACGCGCACTCTCGGGGTGCCCTTCATGGCACGGGCTGTTTCCAGCCGCTGTGATCTGGAGTTTCTGGCGGGGAGGAGATGCTCACAGGTTACTTACTGCAGAGGACCACCTGCCAACTCACCCAGCTCCTGCCCCCATCGCTACCACCTGGGTAGCCTGGGAGGGCGGGGCGGGGGGAATGTATAGCCATTTCTCAGTGTCTATTAAAATTTTATATATACATGTCCTACAACCCAGAAATCCTTCTTCTTGTCATCAATCCTTGGGAAACAATATGCGTAATTTGTACACAATCAGAAAGTCCACCAGTAATAGGTAAGATAAAATGTAGTCTATGTATCCAAACTTTGAAATTTTACATAGCTCTTAAAAAGACTGAAGTAGATCCATATGTATCAGAGAAACTGCCAAAAAATACCTGAGTTTAAAAAGCTATGGCATGCAAATTGCAAGTCACAAACATGGTAAGTAAAAGGTGAACACAAAACAGTTCATTCTGTATGACTCCATCCATATAAAGCACAAAACAGGCAAAACTAACTTATGCTGTTAGACGTCAGGATAGTAGGGGTGAGGGGTGGAGAGTGGAATGCAGCCAGAGAGGGCTTGGTGGGGCGCAGGCTGGTAAATCTCAGATTCTTGACCTGGATATTAACTACATGGATGTGTTCAGTTTGCGAAAAATTCATACAGCTATCACTTATGATACTTATATATGTATATTTCAATTAGATGTTTTTAAAAGGGCAACTGCATTTTAGGTTAAAAAAAAGCAAACCCTCTTTATTTCTCTAAGTACGTCCATAGGTGCGCAGGTAAAATGCCTAGATATACAACGACCTGAGAAGGCTCACTTCTGGAGGGAGGACTCGGGCAGGGGGCAGGGGAGACCCTTGTTTTATCTACAATATCTAAATTTTTGCAATTAACATATCTATATGATTTGGAAAACAAAAATGAATAACACAAAGTGGGAAAAGAAATTAGGGCCAAAAGTGACCTCTCCTCCTCCACCTTACACCCTGGGCAGCGAACCGGGAGACCCAGGTTTGGGTGCACTTTTCACGGCAGGGCAGAGAGGACTGCCTTGCTCTGGTTCGCCTTCTCCCCTCAAGTGGCCCTCCAGGACCCATTCTCAGGTGGAGGGCAGAGCAGGAGGACCCAAGCCAGGAGAAAGAAAACCAGAATTATCTAACTTTCCCACTGCTCTATTGTCTAAGCCCCTGGGCATGAACCCTGATTCCCTGGACCTCTTCATGAGACCTGGGCCACAGGGCTCCCCTCCAACTAACACCCTACCCGAGCCGAGTTCCAGGTGGGGGCCCAGGTCTGTCTGGTTTATACACACCTGAAGGGAATGTCAAAACTTGGGTGAGAAAAAAAATCCCAAAAAGCGCATAAAGTAAGGGTTTCTTAACCCAGGGCAACTAGCCCGGGGCTCTGAGAACTCATGCATGTTTTCTGAATTAATGGCGGGGGGGGGGGGGGAGTTGGCACTTAGACATAAAAAGGCATTGTCCTCATACCTGAAAACACTGTGCACCGCTATATAAGCCAGAAGGAAAAGTCATCCTAGCATCAACACTCAAGAGAGGCAGCTTCCAAGTCAGCCTCCTGTTTTCATTGGCTCAGGTCTAGGAGGCAAACAGGGGCCCCTCCCTCTCCTTAGATGGACAGACAACAGCTGGTCTGGTCACACCTTCTGAAAAGCTCAGCCACAAAACCCGGGAAGCAGCCTCCTCCATCCTCCAGCCAGGGGCTTGGGTTTCCAACCAGCTTTCCTTTTCCTTCCCCAGAACTAATTTTAGCCTCCTTGGTTGTCAGAGTAGATCTGAAATAGTGGGCAGAGGAACGTTTGCAAACAAGAGCATAAGCTCACCTCACAAGACATCTCACCTCCAGCCCAGAAACTGGCCCGAGAGAAGACCCACTATGCGGCAAGCCAGGCCCCCAGGGAAGGTCCCCTTGGGAGGAGGGACACGCGTCTGCCCACTGGGGCAGGCTCCCTTTCCAACACCAGCTCCCAGCAATCACGTGTACATGAATGAAAACAGCCAGGTAGGGCTGCCAGCCCCTGAGAGAGTCTGGAAAAGGCACTTGTATGGGCAGAGCAAGACTAGAATAACCAGGGCAAAGCATGTGGCTAAAGGGGGGAAGCCATGATTGATCCTGGGCCAGGAAGAGGCATGGAGGCCCCCCAAACAGTCCCAGCCTGCATGATCAGTTGATTACAAGTACCTACCATTGTCTCAAGCAAAGACATCCCTGAGAAACTTACAAAAGACAAGCCTCAGAAGGAGGCAGGAGCATCTCCTCTCCCCCATCCCCACCCCTCTGCCACCTAACCACCTGGGCATCCAGGGGCGGCGCCCCCGGAGCCTCAAGGAACAAGCACCTCTCAGGCTGGTGGGGGCCTGCGAGTCGGGTGGAGAAAGACAAACCAAAAGGAAGCACTGAACAAGGGGGTGGGTGTCTATTCTGGAACAAAGAATGGGTGACAGGATGAGAGAGGAGGAAGAGAAGATCAAGAATTTTAAGAAGGCAACCAAATTCCTTTGGAAAGACCCCCAAAGAGGTGGAAAAGGAAGTCTCAACCCCAGCAAGCAACCCTTTTAAACAAGCCCTTCACACCCCAGGGATGCGAAGTACCAGGAAACTGTAGCTTTTAAGACTGCTTCCTTGCACCCTAAGAGACCGGTCCACAATCAGGTCCCAGAGCAGCAAGCCGTGTCCTGCTGAGACCCGAGCGGAGCCCCCCAGGAAGCCCCTCCCAGCAGAGCTAGGAGCAGGGCTGCGGGGAGTGGAGAACACACACAGGGCCTGCCAGGCTGCCAAGCCCAACAAACAGGCGCCCCTAGAGAGCAACCCCTCCAGTCAGGGCCTCCAGTGCGGGCACCTGTCAGGGGCAGCTCTATCCACACCTCCCCAGGTCCGGGGGAGGAAGCCTGGCCCTGCCCTCCAACTCCCTGAGGCCAGGGTAGAGACCTGTGCCCATACCTTTGGGGAGAGGCTGCCCCCGTGCCCCGGTGTCCCCGGGCTCGGGCTCGGGCTCGGAGCTCCAGGCCCACAGCTGCTGCGGCTCCTCGTGGCGCCACGCAGCCGGCCCGCTCAGGGGAAAGGGCATGCCCGCGGCAGGCTACAAGCCCGGGCGCTCCTCTGGGCGCACACAGACAGCCTCGGCTCCAGCGGCTCCCAGGCCCCAGCAACAGGCCCTTCCTGACATTCTGCGCGTGTGGGCGGGAGAGGAGCGAGTGCAAACCTCAAGGCGGCGGTCAGAGGCGGGTGGGCGGGTGCGGGCGGGCAGGCTGCCCGGCCACCCACAACCGCCGCCTCCCTGAAACCCGAACCACTTCTGGGAAAACTCAAGGACGCCAGGATTCTCCTCCGTGGCCAGCGGTACTTCAGAACCACTCATTTCCAACCAAATTCTCCCACGCTGAGCAGGTTTAGCGAGGCACGACTCTCCCAGGCTTTGAGGAAGAGTCAGCCTCCCACTCTCGTTCTGATGGGGTAGGGGTGACGGGAGGCATGTGCCGGGAACCGCACCTCCCAAACTGTCTCTTTAAAAGCACGACCACATTCTAGATCAGACGTTCTCCACCTGAGGTGATTTTGCACCCCGTCCGCCCAGACATTGGGCAATGCCTGGAGACATTGTCAGTTATCACTATGAGAAGTGCTACTAGTATTTAGCGGGTGGCGGCCAGGGATGCTGTTAAACATCCTACAAGGCATAAAAGAGCACCCCCGCCCACCCCCAACACAGACCAGAAAATCATCAGCTCTAAACTCAACGCTGTCGAGGCTGAGAATCCTGCAGGAGAACGAAGTCCAACCTGCCACGACCCTGACTGAGGACTGTCCAGCCAGTGCCATTCTCCCGAGCGTCACCCAGACCAGCGCCCCCTCGCCCCTCAGATCCCAGGCTATGGTAATAGGCCAGAAACTGCCAACGGGTCCAAACTCTAACTGGATGTCCATGGTCCCCCCTTATACGACCCTGAGCTCCCCGGCAAGGAGCTAAATGTTTTAGCACTCACGTGAGGGCTTCCAGGGAGAGGAGGAGGAAGGGAAGGAGACCAGGGCTGGAATTTAAACATTGGGCAGAACCTGAACCAAAAAATAGAAGTAAAGGAGAAATCACGTCCTGTGACTAAAACAGATTGAGTCCAAGTAGCAAGGTGGGAATAAGCCCAGTGCCCCCTGCCCCCCAGGACTGACACAACGGGCAGCCAGGACTTCAGGGTTCAACCTGGGGTGGGGGCAAAGCTTCCTGGTATCAGCGCAAAATGGTGAGTCGCATATATAATGCGGGCATGCATGCGCGGGCACGTACACACACTTATTTGTATTTCCGTGGGGAAAGGGTCTGCAACTTTCACCAGATTCTCAGAGGAGCCCACGATACAAAGGACCATGGTGTAGGACATGGCCTCTTCACTGGCGCCCCTGAAAAGGAAGTTCTCCAGGTGAAGTGCCAGGGGACGTCCAGGTGCTAACTGGGGACCTCCATGCCCAGAAAGTCCCCAAAGGTAATACACCACAGAGGCCCCGGGGTTCTGGGTCTTGTTTCCTCCTGGATGTACAGCCTGGAAAGATGGGCAAGTTTCTCCCATCATCTGCCTCAAAAAGAGCCTCTCATAGCTGAGGAGGGTGCCCATTCCTCCCAAAGGGCAGCCTAACCAGCAAGAGCGGGCATTGTCTGGAGTGCTCAACAGGTACAAGGACAGGTAGGGGACAACACCCTTCCCTGTGGAAGGGCACAAGTGGCCCGTGGTTCTGTGGTCTGCATCCCTGACAGCTGCCATTACGCTGGCCTGAGCGTCACTTCACTCACCCCCAAACACTTCTCCCCCGAGGAAATGGACAAGATCTTCAGGTCCGAGAGCAGCCAGCCTGAGGGCAGGCTGAGACAGTCCAGGCCCGAACTTCCTGATAGGACAGACAGGAGTCAGGGGGCCCTCCCTAGACAGGGGCTCCTGACATCCCACTCAGAACACTTCCCCCCACCCCGGCCCCGTGGGCCCTGATCTGAACCCCAAGTACAGTACTGAGACAGACGTCAGGAGCTCCTATGGGAAACACAGATGTATCCACCGGGGCATGGGGCAGCTCTGCCCATAGATCCTTAAACGTCAGAGCAGTAGCCACCAAAGGACTGATGGGTGTGACCACAAGAAACACCCAGTGACCCTCACCTCCCTCCCAGGGCAGAAACACAGGTCTTTGAATTTCAGTCTAACCCCAGTGGCCCCCATCTTGCAGGGTGCTACTCAGGCCAGGCGGGGGTAACGGAGGGAGGAAGGGCAAACACAGTGTTGAATGGGTGGGCCGGATGCACCCTGCCCTGCCTAATCTGTGAGGGAGGTGAGGACCGGTAAGACCACACAGAGAACATTAGGAGAGGGTTTCCAGATCCCAGGAATGTCCAGAAGGATTTGAGAGACAGCCAGGTGAGCTGTGAATGGCTATTAAGTCAGCTTGCTCCTCCCTCCCCTCCCAATACCTTTCTTTCCTTGGGAAAAAGCAGCTCAACGTTGCACTTAAAAGGAATCCAGGGCAGAGAGGAGAAAACGAAATGGCCCCAAAAGAGCCCCGACGCTCCCTTCCAGAGTGCCCCGGTGCCAACGGAGGTCTCTATCCTCTGGTCCCTACACTCAGGGTACGAAGCACCAAGCCCCACAAAGAGAATCCGCTTGCTTTGATGTAGACAGCTAAGTCAAGCAACATCTCAAACGAGGCGGACTAAGTGGGAGTAGGGGTGGGATGGAGATCCCGGATCCCCACCCCCGCAGCAACGCGGGGATCCCAGCCCCGCCCCTGCACTCCGGGCCCCGCCCTTCGCGGGTTTCCCAGACTCCGCGCTGCTGCCACCGAGGGCGGCTAGGGACCCGCGCTGCATGTATAATGGGGGCTGGGAACAAAGACGCGCAGGACCAGGCTCTCCCGGTGCCGCGCCTCAGCGGCCGGGCAGCCGCGGGCTTCTCCGTGGGGCTTCCACGCACGCTTCCCAGAGCTACACAGAGCCAACTAGAGCGCGGAGCCGGTCCCTGCGTGCACACCGATTTGGGCGAGCCCCAGAAACGCTGAAAGAGTGAAAACCGTGGTCCGGCCTTAGGGGAAAAAGCGCCTCCCCCGTAGAACTCCGCATATATACACCCGCACACTGCCAACCACACGCCGCGCGGGCCAACCGCTAGCCCCGCGGGTCATCCACACCCGCCACGTGCTTCCTGGAAGCCAGAAGGAACAGGGACCTGTTGGTTTTCTTTTGCGCCCCACCTGCCCTCCAAGGCGCCCAAAACAAAGTGGTCCCGTGGGTGGCTGCACCTCGCTCCCTGAGGCCCGCCGCAGGGAAAGCGGGCGCAGGTAGGAGCGGGTGCCACCGGCCCGCCTTGTGCAGAACACTACACAGACTCTGGTGGGATGGGGTGCAGAGAACTCCGAGCTGTGAAAAGCAACCCATTTCGCTACACCTAGTGACTATGAGAGTCGAGTAGCCCTCTCTACAGCCGCTGCTGCACCTACAATCCCGCCACCCCGGATTAAATCTGCCCGCCCTGCTTTACCACCTTTCCCACGCTCTGGTTTTCCTCCCACTCTCCCTGGGTTCCCCGCGCCCGCGTAGCCCGAACCCCGACCCAGGGACTCCGGGTCCCGGCCCCCATCGTGGGATCGCCTCCGCTAACCGGAGCCCCGCAGACTGCCGCACAAACATCATCCCCCCAAGATCAGCTAACGGGACGCGGGGCGCGCCCCTAGTCCCCGCCCTGGGAGGTGCGAGCTGGGTGCAGGTGGCGCGGCAAGGAGGCCGCGGGCCCGCCCTTTGTTGGTAAACACCGCGCGCCGCCCGAGGCCGGCCCCGCGCGCCCTCCCGCACCCCCCATGCCGCGCCCCGTCCTTACCCGCGCACAGCGATCCCCAGAGGAGGGCGAGGGCCGCCCAGGGCGCCGTCATGTTCCGCGGCGCCGCCCCGCGGACACCCGGAGCCTGCGGGCAGGGCCGCGCAGCGCTCCCTGAGCGCGCAGGGCCCGGCGGCGGCCGCGCTCTCCTTCCCGCTCCTTCCTTCGGTCTCGTTCCCAGCGCGCTTCCCGAGCCTTCGTCCCCGGGCAGCGTGCGGGCTCCAAGGGCCAGGCGGCGGGGCCGGGCTCAGGGCCGCTGCGCGCGGCACAGGCTGCGGCCCGGGCTCCGGGGCGACGTGGGGGCCGGGGGGCGGCGGCGGGGCGCGGGCCAGGGTGCGCCCGACTCAGGCATAGCGCGGCGGGGCTGGGCCCGGGCCCCGGGCGCAGGGGCCGAGTCCGGAGGGGCCATGAACGGGGGGAGGGGTGGGGGGGAGGGGAGCTGAACCGAGTCCAAAATGGCTCCTGAGCCGCGGCCGCGGAGACGAGCCAGCGGGGAAACCCGGATGTTGGATACAAAGAGGCGGCGAGCGGGCCGGGGAGGGGGAGGGGAGGCGGGCCCTCCGGCCGCGTGGTCCGCGCCCCCCTTAGGGGCGGGGCCCCAGAGAAACAACAACAAGGAGGCCCCGCCTCCAGTTTGCGCGCTCCCGGAGAAGGAGAAGAAACCAACACACTGGAGCGCGAAGCCGGGCGCGCTGACAGAGGTGGCCGAGTTGGGCCCTGGACCACTTTGCCCCGGGACCCCTGGACTCTGTGGCCACCAACCCGGAATTCTTGTTCCGGGCTCTGGAGCCCACGCTCCAGAAGGCATGCTGCTCTGCGACCCTTGAGTGGATGGGCAGCCCCCAAACTCTGACCTGACTACCCCGATGGGCCTCGGTTACCCCTCTTTGAAATGCGGGTTCAATGAAGCATAGGAGAATCGTGCGAACCGGCAGAAAAAGGCCGTCTTCTCTGAAATGACAAGTGGATCCCCACGTCTACACCCCCAGCCCCCCCCCCCCCGCCAACACACACAAAGGCACAGCTGGGGATCTTGAAGTTGGACCCATGCTCGTGAGGGAAGGCGCGGAGCCTCGACCCGCAGAGCAGAAGCGCAGAAACAGAGCGAAAAGGGACTTTGCAACCTGCTTCCTACCCTGAACTGCAAATGGTCCTCCGCACTCACACCCCACCCCCGCGCTTCAATCTGCACCAATGAACCTGTTCTCAGTTGCCTCCAGTGCCCGCAGTTAAATATCTTGCCTCCCAAACGCGCCTTCCTTGCCCTCCTCACCTCCCCCAGGTTCCTCCTTGGGGGCAGTTGTACTCCATCTCAGATTCCACCCTCCTTATCACACAACCAGAGCTTGGGAGG